TTAGATATTTTTGTTTAATTGCCAGTTTAGCTGTTGCAAGTGGAACGCCAATTTCTAATAAATGAAGGTTTTACAATTTTGTTACTTTCTCTAATTTTTTTGTAGCTAGGTACATCAGTGCATGGAGTGACGTCACTGCTACGATGCTGGTAAGTGTTCTACCACTAAAGTAATGAAAATATAAATATAAAAAGAAAAAAAAAAAAGAAACAAATTCATGCATAGGAAGTTTTTTGTTTTTATCTTTATTATATTTATCTATTTTGATTTTATTATATATATATATATGGTTGTGTATTAAAATTCCTTTGTAAATATCTTATGAATTTTTTTTTGTTTACATTAATATACTAATAACAAGTGAGAAAAGTTTATTAAAAATGAAAATTTGTTTTACATATCAGTAAAGTTTAATATTTTTGAAAAAATATGTAAAAATTATAAAAATTTTAAATTCTTTTTTTTGTTGCTCTTAAACATAAGTGACAGATATAGAAATAGCCTAATCATGGTTGGATAAATTATAGGCTCTATGGGTAGTACAGGGACATACCACGAGGTATGTGTAAGGTGAAATGTTAATAAACTGATAATACATATTAAACATTGGTAGGGTTACTGGGAGGGGTAAAAATGTTCTCTATTGGTTTACATAGATTTGGAGACATATATATATACAATTATTTAATGGCACGATTTTTATTTATTTTTGTTTGATATCTGCGGTGGTGACTGGATGCCAAGAACCACACCCCGAAACCGGCGAGCATACCTGGCCTGCCACCGTGCCATGCTAGGCATCTAAGGACCACACTAATAACAACAGGCAGACATAACATAATATAAATAGATATTATTAAAAAATATGTGAAAGGAAGAACATTTGCATAAACCTGATTATAATAATAATACCCTGCGATCAAAAAAGAACTTAATCGTTCTTTTTTTTGAATTCCTGCGCTTATCCTATCAGCAAATTTTTTTCTTCTCATGCTGGCAACACTATTATACACATTCTGTCAAAATTTAATGCATATCGTACGATTAGTTTTTGTTTGGCGTCTATACAAAGAAGTCGAAAAATTTTCGTGTGGCGATTTTTAGCCGAATTTCATTCAAAAAAAGCATCGTTTTGATGTGGCCACAGAGATGATTTCCAACGCAGATAGTGTCCACACATTCATCCAATGCATCATAACTGGTGATAAGACATGGGTCTATGAATTTGACATGCCCACCAAACAACAATCGACCGAATGGTGCTTCGAAGGTGAGCCGAAACCGAAAAGAGAACACCAAAGTCGGTCCAAAATCAAGGTTATGCTGACTGTTTTCTTCGATATTCGTGGTGTGGTGCACTATGAATTCCTTTCGGACGGTAAATGGTCAATAAGGAGTATTATTTTGCCGTTATGCGTCGTTTGCGTGAGGCCATTCGCAAAAAGAGGGCAGATTTATGGAAGGAAAACTCATGAATTTTGCACCACGATAACGCACCGGATCACACAACGTTGGTTGTGTCGCAGTTTTTGGCCTAAAAACTTCACCAATATCATCAACCAAGCACCGTACTCTCCAGATATGGTCCCGTGTGACATTTTCCTCTTCCCCCGACTCAAATTGCCATTGCGAGAAACGCGTTTTGAGACCATAGAAGCCATAAAAGAGAATTCGCTGCGCGAACTAAAGGCCATACCTTCGGCGGCCTATCAAACTTGTATGGAAAATTGAATCAAGCATTGGCAAAGATATATTTCCGCAGGAGAAGAGTACTTTGAAGGCGATAATAAGGGAAATTATAAAAATTAAAATTTTGCGTGTTTTTTTAACTTCTCGTTCTTTTTTGATTAAATAGTATATACTCGTATTATGAATTATATAAAGTGAAAAAATAATAACATAAGTTCATATTGAAAATATTTCAGTAGTGTATAAGAACAATATAATGACATTTTAAACAACAGCAAATCATATATAGAACTGTGAAATGTTAGAGTAGCAACTAAAAATTGTTCTTTCCAATAACAAACAAAAATAATAATTATATTGCTAAGGAACAAAAAAAAGAAATAAACTTTTGTCGTATTTAAAACGAATTACCAGTGTTTTTTTTATATTATTTCACATCTGAAACACAACATATTCTTGGCGCAGCCTTCAGTTCAAATAAAAAACCTTTAACATTAAATATAACCAGGCCTATTCTGAATACTCCAAGGGAACATAACTCCCTATTTTCACGCTGTTCCCAAACACACAACTCCCTTATTCTGAATTGCTTGGGAGACAGCAGTTTTGGGAACAACAACAGTTTCAAATTTGTTTTGTTAAATTTTGGCAACCATGCTACTTTTTAATGACGAAAAGTGCGAAAATGAGCAAAACAAAGAAAAGAATTGCGTATCATATGTTGATTTAAATGTAAAAATCGCATTATTTGTTTGCTGCACAAATTATCGGAAATAAATATAAGTTATTTTATAAGTAAATAATAAATAATAAAAAATTAAATAATAAAAAACTTTTATTTTAATGAGTAAAATAAATATATAAAAAGAATTGTGCATGAGCAAAATAAACAAGAATTGTGCAGTTGTTAATGATTATTTAAATAAAAAATTTTAAAAAAGTTTTCAAAAATGCATTCAATTGCATTTCGAATTTTAGCGGTGAATTTGGTTCAAGAACAGGAGCAAGAAATTTTGCAACAGAGGATCAACCGCAGAAACTTACATGTTAAATTTAACTCTTTTCTAAATTTTTAACTCTTTTTTAACTAATTAAAAAACAACCTTACGTTATGATATCAATTCTTCAATGTCTTTATTTTCAAACATTCACTGCTTTTATACAAAATTTGCGTAAATTATGATTTAATTTTTTTAATTAGGATAAAAATGTCCTTCATGCTTCAATTAATGAACTAATAATAGTTTGTGATTGTGCAGATGTTACAATAAAAAAGAAGCAATGTTTTATCTGCACATAATTGCAAAAGTTTATTTTAACTTATTCTAGGAATTCATTTCAGAATTTGGTTTCCTTTCATTTTTCTATTGTTTTAAAAACAATAGTTAACACTTTAATAAGTGGAAAAAACCCATGTGAATAAAATAAATAAATAAAAATTTAAATATTTTAAATTTGTTATACATTTATTAAAACAATAATTTTAATAAAATATATTAAATAAAAATTTAGTTATATTAAATTTATTAAAATAAATTTTTTAAAATATATTCGGAAAACTAATCAACTCTTGTGGATAAAATAAAAAAATAAAACTTTGAAAATATTAAATTTATTGCAATAATTTTATTATAATAATAATTTTATTAAAATATATTCAAAAATCTGATCATTTTCAGTTACTTTTATATTAAATTAAACCATTTTTAATATTTTTTTAACTTGTCTCCCCAACAATTTGTTTGGGAAAGAATTTGTGCAAAATTGGGAAAA